TGTCTAGTTGAAACCAAAAACGGATAGCAGATGACAACAATACTGCATTACACTGGTTACTGAAAGAAAGACGCTGCTGTGCTTTCTTGGCCAGTGCTGTGGTGTTGTCAGTCCAGGAGAGATCCTCTGTGATGTGCACACCCAGGAACTATAAATGTCCACCTTTATAAAACACTTTAAAAATATATTTAATTATTAAAGTAATAAATGTGTCAGATATATATCTGACAAATTTAATGAATAATTGAATATTCAAATAAATAAATCAATTTTTATATCACAACAACCACAAAATTATGATAACAAGACTTTTTCGGATGTTTAGAGGTTTTAGTTCCATGGCTGCATTTTACTGCTTCATAATCACATATTATGTAATATGAATATCTGAAAACATTCAAAAGTTCTTTTATGGCATTAGATGTGTATGGCTGTGTTTTAATTCAAACTGGAGGTAATGTGGAGTGTTGAGTCTGAACAGCACCGTGTGTGTGTGGCATGGAGAGGGAGGCTAGAGAATACTGCACCTGCTGTTTTTGCCTTTGTTCTTTTTCTTATCCTTATCATCCTGTTTATCTTTTCCTGCTGCTTTGCCATTCCCCTTCTCCTCCTTGTTATTCTCCTTCTTACTTGCTCCTTTTTTCCCTCCTTTTCTTTTATTTCCCTTCTCCTCTTCGCTCTCCTCTTCGGAGTCATCTTTCTTGACAGCCCTCTTCTTTGAACCTGCTGCTTTCTTTCTTCTTCCTTTCTGCTCTTCCTCGCTCTCCTCCTCTCTTTCGGCCTTTTCTCTTACGCGGAGCCTCCTCCTCCTCTTCCTCACTCTCATCTACGCTATCTGCCTTGGCTTTCTTTCCTCGAGCTGCAGGCTTCGGTTTATTCTTACCTTTTGCTCTTCTTTTTGAATCCACTGAAAAGATAGGGGAAATGTGTACATGTTGACAAAACATAAATAATAATAATTTAAAAATAAAACAATCATGTATATTATAATATTTAAATATAAGTAACACTTTAACATAATTAAATTATATTTTCAAGTATTACAAGCAATACTATAATTAATATAATAATGATAAATAATAATAATAACAATTTTGTTAATAAAATTAATTAACACTCTCAAATTTAAACCATCTGTAAAACTTACCATCACTTCCACTGTCATATTCTGCATCAATTTCCATCCCAACTGTAACACACACACACACACACACACACACACACACACTGTATAAATAACCAGGTCTTGTAAAATTCTTTTAATTTAAATACTTTCACAATAAATCTAAAATAACTGTTTAACATCCTGTCAGCTTTATGTCATATATGATACATTGCGTTAATCATTAAAACAATTAGCATAAATTATTTAAACCTGCTAAATAAGTGGCATAATTTAAGCACTGACTAGACAGGACAACATGCTTATCACTATTAAAAACCATCAACTGCACTATATCAGAATATAAATACTATATCAGAACAATGAATAACAGTTGCAGTTAGTTACCCAATTTATAAATACGGAGACTGACGCGTCTGAAACTGGTTTAGACAGTCCACTACTACACACTGAATCAAAATGATGCCAGAATGTTTATCTTCTGGTATTCAAATCTACTTACCGTCATCCACAGTTATCGCAATATAATTTTTTCTGCGGGGCATCTTGCCAGTTTGAGTTGAAGTCCTTCTATTCAGACTTGCTAGGCATCTAAGAGCTGATGACACACCTGACTGTCAGGTGGGTCTCTGTTAATAGGCGCTCACTCCTAAAGAAGGAATCAAATGACTCCTTGACTATAGTAAATGGTAGTCAAGATCTAAAGCCGTGCTGTGAGAGCCAGGAAACAAAACGCCAGTATACGGGCCAGATCCAAGAATAAAATAAGCAAGATACGTAACTCATGATACGTAAACACAAACAGGTTGCCTAAATAAAGTGCTGTACATATACCTGAATTTTATGATGAACATCTGCAAATAAAGTTTTCTATATTTAAATGGGAAATTTAATATGGGAAAGTAGCAGAATAATGAATATAAAATTTTAATAACAATGTTTTTCGAAAGAGGTTGAACTTAAATGTGCATATAACCCCACCCTGTCAATAATTTATTAATGGGGTCATAGGATGCCCATTTTCCACAAGTTTATATGATTCTTTAGGGACTTAATGAAAAGTCTGTAACGTAGTTTGGTTAAAATTTCTCAGTGGTAGTGCAAAAAACACCTTTTTTACCCTGTCAAAAACAGCTCTTTTCAGATCAAGCTGTTTTTGTAGCATTTTCCTTTAAATGTTAATGAGCTCTGCTGACCCCGCCCCTCTCCTCCGAGCTGCTCTCTGAGAGACTGTTTACTTTAGCCGCATTCATCTTGAAACTTGCTAATTAGCGCATTATTAGGAAAGGCGATTTGCAAAGATTCATTACAAAACATTATACTCACTTCTTCTGTAGATGAGGCTGGATCATGAATGATTCGTGCGAACATAGATGCATTTATGTCGACCGGGGGCGCATTCTCTTCAAAAACAAAGTAATCCACTGCGTCTTCAGCGGCTCAGATGTCGAGAGTAAATGACGACTGCTGTGTTCATTATTACATCCAACAACAGAACACCTCAATCGCTTAGGAGTCATTCTTGTCTACATCTGCTCCAGCCTGAAACAATAGAGGACTGATGACAGCTCACTCAGGGCGGGTCTAAGGTAAGACACCAGTCCAGTCTGTGCTGAAACGCTACTGTCAATCAAACTATCGTGGGAGGGGCCTGTCTGTGTGACGTCACACAGACAGGCATCTGAGATCAGCTCGATTTGAGAAAGGGGAAAACATTTAATGAGATTAAAAAAAAACACTGGGTGGATTTTTATCATTATAGGGTGGTTGTGTACACACACTACCAACACACATTTCAGTTCAAACAACTTGTAAAAGTGCATGTAGCATCATATGACCCCTTTAAGTATCACACTCTAAGAAATAATATGAAGCGCTGATTGAATTGTTTCTCTTTTAGAAAAATTCACAATTCTTCATTAATTGTTCAATAACTCATTATGGATCTTAGTAGAAGAGGTAAACTGTTCATTCGTTTTATATTCTCTTAACACACTTGGTTCTATATCAGTACAACAAGTTCATATACTGAACTGTGGCTTAACCATGTTGAGCGATGGGTTAAATTTGTGTTTTTATTCTTCAATTTGTGTAAATAAGGCATTATGTCGACAGGAAATTCAGACACCTCTATGGAAACTAACCTTGTTCAGACACAGCAGCCGAATACCATTAATTGTTTTGAGTTAATAATGTACAAGAGGTCTACTACTGTAACGTCCGGTAACAGAACTACAATCACACAGAGCAGATTTCCAGCATATAAAAGAAGTTTCTCAGTGGTGGCAGCAGGTAAGCTACTACATGATATTTTGAAGATCTCATCAAGGATCACAAGAAGGTTCACAATACAAAAAGTTGTTAGTTGTTATGAGCCCAATGCTATAACTATTCTTGATTTCCTGGCATATTCAGGAAGAGCTGTATCTTCAAATGAACATTGGCTTCCTAAATGAACAAATAAACAAAATCTCAAATGACTCCTGTTAATACTTAATAAAGTCTGCCCATGAATTATGGATGAGCATTTGCAATGTTAATGAAACTTATGTGCCAATTCTCTAATAAGTAATAGTCAAGATTTGAAACAGGGATATCATAAGGTTCTTAGGATTGTAAGACCTCTTCAATTTATCTTCAAAGAACATGCTAAAACGATACTCTCAATGTTTTTACTATCCTCTAGTGGGTTGGGAACAAATCCCCTCACATAAATGGTACACAGCGTAACCCCAAACAGAACAGTGTGGGCCATGGCATGACAAATGAGCCACATGCATCTTCGCTGCCAAATCTGTGGCTGCAGAAAAATAATCCGAGATATTAGACACCCCTAGAGCTGAGAGCAGATTTGAGAATACAGTACGGAGCATGGAAATGTTTTGGGCCACCTGACACGCTCATCAAGATAAAGCTGCATGGATTGGAGAATGGGGGAAACAATGAAATGGAGAGGAGAGGTATAAAGATGGGCAAAGCCAAGCTGTCAATCTTGAGTGCTGAAAAATGATTTTGTTTTCATATCTATGGGGACTAAAGATGCACTTTGGGTTGACTGTTACAGTGGCCCTAAAAAGGCATTTGGACACTTGAGTCCCACTTAAAAATGTAGGAAATCTGCAAAGAAATTATGCTATTCTTCTAGATTTGCTTTAGCTTTACTTTTAACAAGATGTTTGTCTTTTGGCTTAATGTTTTACAATGTGATTCTTTCCATTTTTAACATTTTTTTTATTAACCATTTTGCTTGAAAACTGTTTTTGCTATATAAATGATATTTTGTTATATACAATGACATTCATATATTTTTAAGTGTGGCATAGATATCCAAACACATTTTAGGGCCACTGTAAATAAGATGCATGTGCTCCTCCCAGGGGCGTTGCTAGACCCTTTTTACTGGGGCAAGAGCCCCCAGTAAAATACTGCTGTGTCCCAGTAAAATATTATTGATAAATCCTTATATGTGACCCTGGACCACAAAACCAGTCTTAAGTCACTTGGGTATATTTTTAGCAATAGCCAAAAAAAAACATTGTATGGGTCAAAATTATCGATTTTTCTTTTATGCCAAAAATCATTAGGATATTAAGTAAAGATCATGTTCCATTAAGATATTTTGTACATTTCTTACCGTAAATATATCAAAACTTAATTTTTGATTAGTAATATGCATTGCTAAGAACTTAATTTGGATAACTTTAAAGGCGATTTAAAGTTATATTTTAAATTTAAAGCTATAACTATTTTGCTCGTATCAAAATATGAGCACACATTTTTTTGATGGGGAGCCTGTGCTCCAGTACTGATGAAAGGTTAGAAACGCCCTTGGTTCTTTCTCTAACATATTAGTCAAAAAGAGGTTTACTTTAGCGGCTGTAGTTTAATAACTAGTTGCAATTGGCATGTAAACCAACAATCAAGCAAATATTTCTAAAACTAAACAATAAATATAAAAAACAACAAATCAAGAGATAGTTTGACCCTAGTTTGGCCTGTGTGTAACAAGAGCAATCATTTCTCTTTCACAGAGATACTTATCATTCTAGAGTTACATAGCTACCAAGCCCTTGAGATTCACTGTGACATTCATGATATGTGCTGCAGGCCTGGGCACAGGATTTATACTGTATCAGCAAGAAATCCAAATGGTCATATAAGTGCCAAATGTTGTGCATGCAACAAACAGATGCATCTATTTATCTGTTTACATCTGTGCTGTTTATCTCCTGTTTGAGTGAGAGTTTTTCTGTGGCTGCTGTGGGTGACCTGGAAGATGTCCAGATGATGTGTGGCCCCGGGATGCAGGGGGTCTGGTAGTTGTGTGGGTCGAGGAGACGGGAGGTTCAGAGTTTTGAGTATGCTGACTCTGTGAAGGGTGAATAAAACGACCGTTCTGTCCAGCTTGTCTGTGATGGCCTGCTTCATCTATGCTGCTGCTCTCTTCATTCACTCCTGAGAAAGAGGAGGCAGAAAGACCTTTCAACTGCTGTCTCACAGCAACACTGATATATAGAAACAAGGGCATGTTGTTTTAAGACTGTGGCCACCTGCTGACCAAACACAGCACATCAACTCTTCAACATTAAAGGGTTAGTTCACCCAAAAATTCTGTCATTAATTGCTCACCCTCGTGCTGTTTCAAACCCATAAGACCTTCGTTCATCTTCGGAACACAATTTAAGATATTTTTGATGAAATCTGAGGGCTCTCTGACCCTGCCATAGACAGCAAGGTAACTACCACGTTCAAGATGATCGACAAAGTAGTCCGTGTGACATCAGTGGTTCAACTGTAAAGTTACGAAGCTACAGTTGAACCACTGATGTCACACGGACTACTTTGTCGATCATCTTGAACGTGGTAGTTACCTTGCTGTCTATGGCAGGGTCAGAGAGCCCTCAGATTTCATCAAAAATATCTTAAATTGTGGGTGAACTAACCCTTTAATGGAAAGTTTCTCTGCATTGGTTCCAAGTTGCTGTCTTATGCACTGACTGATGGGAGCTGTGACCCGTTCTGTGTGCTCTCACCCAAATCGGAGGCGCTGCTGCTGCGTTGTTCTCCTGCTTTCCTTGCCTGCTCCAGCTCATTGGCTGCTTTTAAGGCGGCAAGTTTGTTCTTTTTCTTGTTTTCCTCATTTTGCTGTAAATACAAAATTAGCGACATGACTATAAATGCCCTATGGATTTTGTAACAGTAGTGAGCAGATCTATGTCCAGTGATAAAATTAAACTGAATTAATATAAAACATAATTTAGTCTATGTGATTATACTACTACTACTACTTATTATTATTTATTAATGCATCATTTAAAAAATGTAATTATTTTTAGCTCAATGTTAGTGCTTCCATCTAGTGGTGAGTTTACTGCCCATATAACCCTGTTTAAAATTAATCATTTACTGTAGGAGACATTTGAACATACATTTGGACTTCCCAACTTACTGTTTGAAGTTTCTTTTTCAGCTCCATGTTTACCCTTTTGTATGTTTTAGAAGTGGACTGCAGATAATAAATCGCAAGACTAAAATGACAGAAAAAATGTAGGCCTACCATTACAATCACAATATTGTACAATAGAGGAAATATTGATATATTTAGACATTCCCACTTACACCAAGAGCAGAAGAAAAGGCAGCACCAGTCCGGGGTTCGAGGCGTAACTGAACATTTTACCGAACCAGGCAGGGAAGTCTGACTCCAGGGTCTCCTGAATCACATCAAACATGCGGGTTTTCCCACTGCAGGAAAAATATAAGAATACTCTAGGACACTCTTTTAAAACGGCAGAAACCTAAGTCTAAACTAGTAAAAATAGTTTTTAAACAAACAAACATGTGTTCCCTTACGAAAAAGAAGTTTATTCAAGTGTGCTATTAGTATACTTAAAAATATACTTGAACTTTACTTAAGTATACTTACTAAAATAAACTTGAAGTATACTACTTTTTGGTAAGGGTTATCAAATGTTTATTTTATTTGTTTATGCTGGTCAGTCTGCAGTTTCTTAGCCATGGGATCCATTGAAATTGTGCATTTCCATTTATGTAAATGAAGGTCTAATGCTGTCAAGAAAAGATACAACAACATTTTGGCCATCAGTGACTTGTTTACAAAGCATGCTGCATCTACTATACACGCTGCTTCAACTGTCCTACACTGCACAGGTAATATGTGGACAGAGTTCCGCCAGGTGTTGTTGGGGAAATAAATCATTGTTTTTATAAGACAGCTGTAAAACTTATTAATTTGTAAACATTTTAATGCTTTTATTGTATATGTTTATTTCTATCTGTATTTATTTATGTATTGTTTATCCTAATGTACTCACTGGCTGTATTTGTAAATCTTTAAAACAAACAAAAAATAAATAAATGAACTTTCTTCAAATAACGGTAACTGCATTTTGTGCTGATTTTGAGGAGAAAAAGGATGTGAGAAAATTGTAGACTTGCACTCTGCTGCACTCTAGTGCTAACGATCTGCCATTGCAAGACTTGGCTTGTAACATCCCTCCACTTATTCAGTGTTAATTTATACACATAAGTATAAATACATAAATACATACATACGAGCCTGTTACTTTAAGTCTAATTATTTGTATTTATACTTAATTCAAGAGATTAAAAGCTGTCACCGCACTGAACAATTTCAGAAACTTCAAATTACTCAGTTCTTATGCTAAACAGACCAGCTCCATAATCCACACCATTTTTAATTCATACATAAACATTCCAAACCTGAAAGGTCCACAGTCAAAAGAGGGAGGAATGGAGACAATGGTGTATATAGCTGGCAGTGTAGAGAGGAAGAGGATGACCAGCAGCATGGCCATGTAGAAGTTATTGGAGCCTGAAGCTTTGAAGACCCGTTCCTGAGGCACATTACAACACATCACCGCCCAACACTGCAGGTACATGGACACGTGAAGCCGGAGAAGATTTAATGCTGGAAGACATGGAGCGTAGAATGCCCCCATCCTGATACACACATACACAATGACAAAGATGTGGTGAGATTTGATGGTGTGCTGGTTTCAAATGGAAAGCAAGAAAACATGCTACATAAAATGGAGATAGTTCTCACCAGATCATTCCCTGATTGAAGATCAGCCCCAGAACATTTCCACTGACGTCAAACTCTGAATAGGACGGCTAATGAAGAAAGTGCACTTCAGTTATAAATGAAAGGGAATCCCTGATACTGACCACTGCATGTGTTGTGGATACTCACAAAGCCATACTCCAGATCCCAGCACCAGCAGTTGTTTAGGAATCGCACCAGTACGGCACGGAGGAAATCCCCAATAAGCAGTGTGATGTAAGTCGTCATTGTATCAGAAATGATGAGACGTACAAACTCCTGTAGACACAGAGGATGCTGACAATCTATAAAGATTTGATGTAATGCATCATAATATTAATTTAACACTTGATTTTTAAACTCTCTAGTTATCCTAGTCAAAGTTTCAACCTTGTTTTATTTGTTCAAACATACACTCAATGTTTGTTTAATATACAAATGCTTTAAATTAGATTTATTTAAATATGCATATTTGCTGAGGTTAAAATCGAATTAATGTCATGTCATGTAAGTAATGTCAATGTCAAATCATGTAATTTGCCATTTACCAAACTGTATCTAGTAAAAAAAAAATATATACTTTTCATATGATGGCAAAGCAGCCATTGCTAGTTTTCAGTGTCACGTGATCTTTCAGAAATCATTCTAATATGCAGATTTGTTGCTCAAGAAACATTGATAATAAGAGATGTTGAACAGTTGTGCTTCTTAAGATTTTTGTGGAAACCCTGATGTATTTTTTTCAGGATGCTTTGATTAACAGAATGTTCAAAAGAACAGCTTTTGAAATAAAAACCTTTTGTAACGTTGTAAAAGTCCTTATTTTTGATCAATTTAATGCATCATTGCTGAAAAAAACTCAGTTAATTATTTATTAAAGTTCAATTACTTAGATTACTTAATATTAAATGGAAATTTGTCATACAACTGAAATGTGTAAATCCTAAGTCATCATTTCTGCAATTCTAGAGCACTGAATATATACTGTATATACCACCATATCATTAAGCCTTCCATTCTGAGGAGGTTGTGTTCCTCCAAAGGTTTTTTCTTTATCTTACCTAAATCTCCTAAAGAGTTTTCCCTTGACACATTTTGCTCACTGGAGGTTTGTTCACTGGAATTCTATACTTTGTAATGCTGCTTTGGGACGTATTGTGTTCCAATTGTACTGGAATTTGTATTGTGAAAAGAGCTATACAATTACATTTTAGCTGAACTCAATTGAACCACTCTTCCCCAATACCTGTCCAACCATTGTCTCCCAGCAAGGCCCTCTGGGAATATCAGCAGGGTGCACTGTGATCGGAGGAGCAGTTGAGTTGTCTGGCACAGTCCCATTGTACAGGTTAGCCTGCCAGATTGTCATATTCTTCTTTACAATCTCCTCTTCTGCCCTCTTCAAAATATGTGACAGTTAGGAGGATAAATGACCTTCATAAGAAGATGATTCATTTAACACAGATTCTGTGGCCCAAGAGAGCTAGAATGATGGAAATTATTACTTTTTTGAACGTCAGAAAGACTGAAGATGGAACTGTGAGCACTTTAGTCTTTGTTAAATGAAGCTGTACCTTTAGTTGGATGGCATCCATGAGAGCGATGATGAACGTGTAGAGGTTCCCCAGGAAAAGGGCGAATATGCGTCCCAGCTGCCACTGGAGGGCAACGCGTGGATGATAGTTCTCTAAAGTGCTGATCACATCGAACAGCATCGGACAGAACATTCCCAACAGAGACATCACCATGTTCACCTGAGGGTATGTAAAACCATGCAAAATTAATTTTTTATTGATTGACAAGAAGGTTTCTATTGCACACTGTTACATGAGTCTGACCTCATTCCTCTCCCACCAGCCGTAGTTCTCCAGTCCCAACAGAGCAAACTTCTGAGACCTGCGTACTACAAAGTAGATCAAGTACCCACTCCCTGCCAGACAGCAGAGCACCAGGAAGTTGGCCAGCACTCTAAGGAATCGTGTCAGGTGGATGTTGTCATCTTTTCTGCTCTCTTGCTCCTCCACAATGGCCTCCTGTTAACGTGCTGAATTTATTATGAAGCTGGGAGAGGCCAGATTAAAGGGGTCATATCATTCTTTTTATTATGATTTATTTTTCACCTAAAGACTAAGGGGGTTTCCCCCTGTTGAGATGTTATTTGAGGTTTTATCTTGTTTTTAGTTTTTTTTTTTTATTTCATTAACAATTTACACCCTTATTCTGGCTCTTAATATGAAACAGGTAAGGTATAGTGACGGTATAGGTTTCTGAACAATGAATAGATGTAAATGTGGGTATTTTGTGTTTGTCTGTCTGATGTGTCATTTTGGTAAGTCATTGTATATATAATATGTCACATTAATATGACATAATGAGTTGATTTTGTCATAATTATGACTTATTTCAAACTTTTGTCATAATTAAAGGGGTCATATGATGCTTTTTTAAAGATCATTATTTTGTGTATTTGGTGTAACAGAATATGTTGACATGCTTTAATGTTCAAAAAACACATTATTTTTCAAATACTGTACATTATTGTAGGTCCTCTATGCCCCGCCTCTGTCAAACGCTTCGTTTTCTACAAAGTCCCTCCTTCCAACAAGCGCAGTCTGCTCTCATTGGCCAGCTGACCCAGTGCATTGTGATTGGCCGAACACCGCAAGCACTCGTCGGAAATGTAACGCCCCTTACCATAATCGCGAGCTTCATCTTTCAAAATAAATGTAAAGACAGTAAATAATGTCATTAGTTTTACCATCAGTTCAAGCCCGAA